GATCCGTCTCTCGGAATGGATTAAATTCGTAAGTCGAGGCCCACTGTATATTTGTAATATAAAGAATTTTGAATGTAATATAAAGAGATAGTAATCCTGCATTTTAGTGGAAAGGTGGAGCCCATCATATGGGTAGGGTCCTCCACGCACTGTGCCCAAGGACTACAATGCTGTTAAGACGACCCTATACTTCAGACCTATTTTGTGGGAGAGCCCTGTTGGCTTCTGTTACGACCCTGGGTTCTTTAGTGGAAACCAGAGGTCAAAATTGAGTTATTAAACTTTCCTATAGTATAGCTGAACGCAACCCTATGCGCAGTTGTTTGTATCTTCCCAGCCAGACGTAAGACTATTCTTGTTTCTCAAAGAGCATTTAAAGACTGAGCTTGGGGTTGATTATTAAATAATAACATAGGCACCAACTATGTTGACTAATACTTTCTAATCATTTGTAAAGTAACAATACGTTGCATAGGGGAAGATCTTTAATGTGCTTAGCTGCACGATCAATTAGGCTCCTTCCGGCACCACGACATGCGGGAGGCCTAGCTGGTCGCTAGGAGCGTTCTTTTCTGGCTGGCGTTCGTGGGGACGAGACCTACTCTGTGGCTGCACCCCTACTCTCCTCCCTTCTCCTCTTACTTATTTCCCTTACCTTAAGTTCCTGTACCATTAAGTTAAGTACTGTATGGGGTTTTAAGTGTGCCTACTCTGGTAGTAACGATTGGTGAGACCTGGGGGTAGTATTTGCCAGTGTTTTGGGTACCCCTCAGTGTTGTGTTTTGTATTAGGGTACCATGTGGTGTCTCTACCCTAAGCTGCATCCAGCTTCAGTGCTTATCCAGTAGTACTTTACCCTAGCTTGTTCTTAGTGTAAACCTTGTATCCTGCCAAAGTGGACCAAGGCTTTTTAACGTAAGGTAGTGTGGTAAAGTTATTATTATTATTATTGTTATTGGTGTGAGTGTATATGGGGGGCGTTAAGGGGTTAATAAATAAGTACATGAATTATAGGAGTATACCTTCTTCCTGTGTGGGAGTGCATTGATCAACCCTTAGACTGACATATATGGTTTAAATAAGCGTGTGGATGCTGCCGTTAGGGAAGGAATCCGTTCTTGTCCCATCTCCCATAAAGGTATTCCTTATTCCGACTTCTATCCAGTTATTCATTCATCCATCCTTGCCCATTGGCAGGGTTGTTGGTCTTCTGTAGTTGGTAACAAGCTGCATACTCTCAAATGTAGTGTGTCCCCGTGGCCTTCCTCTTGCCACCGTAGCCAGCGGTGGGAAACAGCTCTAGCAATGTTGCAGATTGACCATACTTGCTTAACTCACGGTCACTTAATGGAGCGCCGCCCTGCTCCTTTTTGTCCAAATTGTGTTGTCCCTCTTGCAGTTGTGCATATCCTGTTGAATGTCCCGACTTCCAGGACGTGCGTGTGTCTTGCTTTCCGACCGTCCCTCGTGGTCACTTATCCCTGGATAGAATTCTTGGTGAATTGGATACTTTTGATATCGTTCATCTTATGCGTTTCTGTTCTCGTATTGGCATTCTTGGTGATATTTAGCGCCCTCAGATTATTTCATACTTTGTGCTACTGGATGGATGGCAGGCGAGTGGAACAGGATTGGAATGGTAAAGAAAATCTTTTAGAAACTCTTGCCTAGAGTTTACCACCCACTCTTACCACTCATCTGCTCACCCACTGTCTCCAGACCACCTGACATGATTCTAGGGCTGGAGTTTCTAAAAGATTTTCTTTCCCTTTCCCACTCGCCTGCCATCCATCCAGTTTCCCCCATCATCCATCCATCCAGTCCCTCCACCATCCATCCATCCAGTCCCCCCACCATCCATCCATCCATTCCCCCTCACCATTCATCCAGTCTCCTCACCATCCATCCATCCTGTTGTCCTCTTAAATATAATATTCAAGTGTGATCGTTACTAGGCAGGTGACACTGGTAAACTGAAGCGTGGTCGCCTGTGCCACTAGGAACCATGCGCTCGGTCGACCCTTACTTGTATGAACAAAGTCGTAAATCGAGGTAAAGGTCGTAAGCAGAGTCGCATTTTCTGACGAAATTTATGTCGTAACTCGAAAAATTTGTAAGTACGGTCAGTTTTAAGTCGAGATGCCACTGTAATTTGAACAATTATTTGAATTCCACACCATTCCAGTGTGGTCGAGTAATTGTCCAATCTCCCAAATGATTTCTCATGAACAATATGGCAGCTTGAAGCCCCTGAGTATTTGGTCAGTGTGCCCATATGTTAAGGTGGGCCTTAGTGTATAAACCATTATTAGTACAGGGCATCCATTTTACATGCTTGGTAACTTGCATTAAAGGAAATTCTATAATAATATTAAAAATGCTTTTACAATTTGTGACTGAAGAACCCTCAAATCAATTAGGCAAAAATTTTCAAACAAATGAATTAGTACAGCATTAGACATCTGGCTATATCTTACAGATCATTCATGATAAAGTAATTTTTTTTTGCCCTTATAGTATGTATCAATCTTCACAGGACTATTTTATAAATGATAATTGTCATTACAAAAACTGTTTCTAACTAATAATTTTCCAATGGTGTTCTCATATAATTAAACAGTAAATATGAATTAAATTCAAAGCCATATAAGAATTATTTGGCCAAGGCCAAATATGAATTAAATTCAAAGCCATTATAACATTTTAAAACCCAGGAAATTATGGGAACAACACATTTTTAAGGCAGATTTTCCAAGTAATGATTTTGTTATGATATGTTGCACAAAACTACAGCAAACTTCCAAATAACTAAATAGGTAGCAATTCCAACAGAATTAATATTTTCAACCATCTAAAAACTGAACTCAAAATGAAGAACTCTTAAGACACGTACAAGAAAAAAATTATTTTTTTATCATGTGCCCAGAAAAGTAGTGTACATGCGAGAAATTGATGGCAGGCTTTTATATACACTGTATTTAAGAGAAAAATCTTCCTTATGAATTACGATATCAAGAAATACCAAACATTTATCAATTTAAAATAAATTTTATAGAAGGGATTTTCTCATCTTGTAAGTACGGTCAGTTATAAGTCGAGATGCCACTGTAATTTTTGCTAAAAATTTGTCTGAACTTACAAATGACGATATTTTGTGTATTTGACTAAGTGTAAATATAGACTTTGAAAAATATTAGGGACCTATGTAATATTTGCTCAAGGATATACTGTAACTCCTTACAAGGCCAGGAGGCAGGCAGGAAATGCCAAATAGTCCTGTTGAAAAGCAGATGTGCATGCAATGGGTACACAGAATTTTATGAACATAGGGAACCAAGAATTTTCAACACCCCTTCCTCTGCACATAAGGGGCATAACTAGCTGACCTCTCTTGGTGTTGAAAATAGAATTTTGTAAAAACGCCTTGATACATGCCTGATGAGGTTCTGGGAGTTCTTCTACTCGCCAAGCTCGGCCTGAGGCTAGACTTGACTTGTGAGAGCTTGGTCCAACAGCCTGTTGCTTGGAGCAGCCCACAGGCCCACATATCCACAATAGCCCAGTTGGTCTGGAACTTCTTGAAGAAAACTATTTAGTTTCCTCTTGAAGTCCACTGTTGTTCTGGCTCTAGGGCCTACTGCAGATATCCTCCAAAGGATATCTGTTCACTTGTGTGGACCAGAGTGGCCCACACAAGTGAACGACTGAGTTTCAACGATTTTCATTCACTGATTTGTGGCACACGCATCTTTGTAAATTAATTTAAAGGCTGAATCGTGAATAGCTAGCTAATGTGTTGAAATCTTCTTATATACATTTTCTGTGATGAAACAAGATGAGTGAGGGTGGACAGATAAGGGAATACTGTACTGTAAACCTCACTTTACAGTGAGGTTTCACTCACTTTCGTCTGTGTCATCATAGTTCAGTGACCCATGACTTTGAACATTTCACATTAATAAATCATTTCTAAAACTGGTGTTTTAATAACTCTTTATTATCCTAATTAAACTAAACTAAATAAAACCAAAAATATACTGTAATATGATAGATATCTGCCATTTGAGAAATTATTCATGTTATTGGCAGCTCAAGTCCATCGCGAGTGGACAGGTCTAAACCATGTGCACACAACACCATGCTTGTTTTGTTCGATTTCGTCGCCACAGTTCAGTGACCTACGGCTTCAAAATAATAAAATTAATAACTCGGTTCTAAAGTATTTTTATAGCTCTTATTATCGTAATAATGTTGCTAAACTAAATATATAACCCAAAAATATATAATTTGATGTAAATCCAATATTTGAGAGAAATTTATGTTACTGGATCTGGCTTAAACACCAGCCTACTGTTGGGTGTACGTATAGACCTAGTCTGCGTTCGTACAGTATGCACCCGGTGCCCTTAGCTTTGTCTGCGATTGACATACAATATTTAACCACAGGTGGAAGAACAATCGTGGAATTTACAATTTTTTTACTACAGCTGTATTGATATACAACAAAATGTCTCAGGGGTTTACTAATAGTGCCTTATTAATGCCAAAAATGAAGCAATATTTTGCAGGAACTAGCAGCAGAAAATCAACCAGCATGAGCACAGCCGTACCCAGCACGAGAACAGCTGTACCCAGCACGAGAACAGCCGTATCCACCATGAGAACAGCCGTACCCAGCACGAGAACAGCCGTACCCAGCACGAGAACAGCCGTCCCCAGCACGAGCACAGCCGTACTCAGCATGAGTTTTAAGTGTGTAAATAATGTTAAAATTAAAGTTGCAGTAATTTTAGTGTACAATAGTTTTCATAAACTGTATTGTAGTACTCAACATACAGCAGAACTACTTAATCAATACAGTGCTAACGGCATAATACACTTCAGTACGTATTTACTGTACAGCATTCACAACTCTGAGACTTCAAGCTGAACATAACTCCAACAATAAGGTAAATAACAAATATAACAGTATTTTTTAGTAGGGTAATAATATATAGGTACGGTATATAATATGATAATGCATTTTTATTGTGTTCAAGAAAAAAAAACACACTGACACAAATGCCTCCTGAAGGTCACCTCTTGCAACACATCCAACGCATTGGGGTTGGTCCCATATAGTACATTGAATGGAGGTTGTACTGTATGATTTCTTATGTGCATTATTAGATACAGTTTTAGATTTGATTTGTCTTTTTTTTTTACACATTTAACACTGATCTGGAATTTCTCCTGTATGAATCCTCATGTGCCTTGTTAGAGACAATTTACGGGAAAATTTTTTTGGACACTCTGAACAGTGATATGGTTTCTCTCCTGTGTGAATCCTTGTGTGCTTTGTTAAAGCTGATCGATATGAAAAACGTTTTAGACACACTGAACATTCGAATGGTTTATCTTCTGAATGAACCCTCATGTGCTCTACTATTTGTGATTTTTCTGCAAAGTCTTTTAGACACTCTAAACAGTGAAATGGCTTTTCTCCTGTATGAACTTTCATGTGTCTCGTTAGAAATGCTTTACGTGCAAAATCTCTTTGACATACAGAACACTGATATGGTTTCTCTCCTGTATGAATCCTCATATGCTTTGTTCGATCTGATTTACTATAAAAAAGTTTTTGACACTCTGAACATTGATATGGTTTCTCCCCTGTATGAATCCTCATGTGCTCCATTAGATGGGATTTTTGTGCAAAGTCTTTTTGACACACCGAACACTGATAAGGTCTTATTCCTGTATGAAGCCTTAAGTGCTTGTTTAGAACCGATTTACAAGAAAACTCTTTTTGACACTCTGAACATTGATAAGGTTTCTCCCCTGTATGAGTCCTCATGTGCTCCATTAGATGTGACTTTTGTGAAAAATCTTTTTGACACTCTGAACATTGATATGGTTTCTCTCCTGTATGAACTCTCTTGTGCTTTGTTAAATCTGAATTACATATAAAATCTTTAAAACACACTGAACATTGAAATGGTTTCTCTCCTGTATGAATCTTCATGTGCTCCATTAGATGTGACTTTTGTGCAAAAACTTTTTGACACTCTGAACATTGATATGGTTTCTCTCCTGTATGAACTCTCATGTGCTTTGTTAGTCCTGATTTGCATGATAAGTCTTTTAGACACACTGAACATTGATATAGTTTCTCTCCTGTATGAACTCTCTTGTGCTTTGTTAAATCTGAATTACATATAAAATCTTTAAAACACACTGAACATTGAAATGGTTTCTCTCCTGTATGAATCTTCATGTGCCTTATTAGATGTGATTTTTGTCTTAAGACTTTCAGACATATTGAACACTGATTTGGATTGTTTTCTAAATGAGTGCTCATTTTTAACATTTTGAATTTTTAAGTGTATTAAAACATTCCCAGGGTATTAAAATTAATTCAGCTATAAATTCTCACAGGCTACTTGAGTTTTCAGATATTGTGGTTTTAAACTTCAACACTGATGTGGTATGTTTTTTAAATAAATTCCTGCATAATTTACTTATTTGTTTTAATGTAAAGTTATTTTAGCATGTTATCAATGACATTTATTTTATAAGTAAAGTCTTAGTCATAATTATTTCTGTCCTAAATAGGTTTTTATTTGCTTTATTAATATTTGAGCAAAGGCTTAATACCCTCTATTTGTGTTATGCCTGACTACTTTGACAAGTTTTTGTACAATAATAAGGCAAATTTTGTTAAAGCTGCTGAACACTTGGAATGTGATACTGTATACCTAATATTACTTGGTGACCAGCATAGAGCAGCAAGTTATGAAGTTATGGCAAGTTATGGCAAGTTATGACACCTCTGTTGTCAATTGAGGCAATGAAGCTCAAAAGAGCTACTTGAAAAGATCACATTTCCTTTGGCATCAATATATAGGAAATGGATTACTTGTTAACTATCTTGAGAGATAGATATGTTAAGACATACAAGAGCATATAAACGTTTAAAAATATATAAACCAGTTAAGTCACTGATTAATATTAGACAAGTATTTTTGTGATTTGTAACATTAGAGAATGTTAGACATACAATACTAGACAATAATGCTCATAAATAGTGTAAATGTATCTACACAACTACATACTCTGCCACATGTGGCTGTAGTCTCAAATTCAGGACATGAGCACAACTTTGTGAACTGACAGGTAAGCTTCTATCATGGATGAAAAATTTTCTGACTGATAGGAAAATGAGGGCAGTAATCAGAGGCAATGTATCAGAATGGAGAAATGTCACAAGTGGAGTACCACAGGGTTCAGTTCTTGCACCAGTGATGTTTATTGTGTACATAAATGATCTACCAGTTGGTATACAGAATTATATGAACATGTTTGCTGATGATGCTAAGATAATAGGAAGGATAAGAAATTTAGATGACTGTCATGCCCTTCAAGAAGACCTGGACAAAATAAGTATATGGAGCACCACTTGGCAAATGGAATTTAATGTTAATAAATGTCATGTTATGGAATGTGGAATAGGAGAACATAGACCCCACACAACCTATATATTATGTGAGAAATCTTTAAAGAATTCTGATAAAGAAAGAGATCTAGGAGTGGTTCTAGATAGAAAACTATCACCTGAGGACCACATAAAGAATATTGTGCAAGGAGCCTATGCTATGCTTTCTAACTTCAGAATTGCATTTAAATACATGGATGGCGATATACTAAAGAAATTGTTCATGACTTTTGTTAGGCCAAAGCTAGAATATGCAGCTGTTGTGTGGTGCCCATATCTTAAGAAGCACATCAACAAACTGGAAAAGGTGCAAAGACATGCTACTAAGTGGCTCCCAGAACTGAAGGGCAAGAGCTACGAGGAGAGGTTAGAAGCATTAAATATGCCAAAACTAGAAGACAGAAGAAAAAGAGGTGATATGATCACTACATACAAAATAGTAACAGGAATTGATAAAATCGACAGGGAAGACTTCCTGAGACCTGGAATTTCAAGAACAAGAGGTCATAGATTTAAACTAGCTAAACACAGATGCCGAAGAAATATAAGAAAATTCACCTTCGCAAATAGAGTGGTAGACGGTTGGAACAAGTTAAGTGAGAAGGTGGTGGAGGCCAAGACCGTCAGTAGTTCAAAGCATTATATGACAAAGAGTGCTGGGAAGACGGGACACCACGAGCGTAGCTCTCATCCTGTAACTACACTTAGGTAATTACACTTAGGTAATTACACTAGTCCAATACTAGGGTAAGATTATCTAAAATTTACACATGCCACCATTTAATTTTTAATTCTTTCAAAAGAAAAATATAGTAAATATTAAATATAGTTGCAGCACAAGTCAAGCACAACCAGGCCTTAAGTGGTTAGTCTTTTTTGAAAATGTGTTTGTGGTATTTATGTAAAGTATACATACAATGTACCATGTACAAAAAAATACGTGCTATATATGTATTTTTTTGTAATCCTCTACACCTTTTTGTAAATAAATACAAAAAATATATATGCACATATGTACATTTTAAAAATGTCCTCTTTAACACTTGCAAGTTACCTGTTATATGAAGTATTTATTTTATTTGATGTTTTACAATGGAACTTTATATATTAATGATTATAATATAAGCACTGAGAATACATTTACACTGTAAAAATAATTAATTTACATAACCTTCAAATGTTTCCTCCCAAAATAATAATATAAACTTAAAACACATACACAATATATTAACAAATATGAAATCTTAAAATAAAGAAGACACCAAATTTAATGTATATACATGCACATTTATCACTTGTTACAATGGTGCTACAGTGCATGAGCTGTTGTAAATACATGTACACTTTTCATATGAAATAATGTTTATTACAATGGGTGATAAGGCTGCACAGGACAATATTTGAAAAAGTGGAGTAAACATTCATCCAAAAGGTGTTGAGGAAGAGATTGTAATAGTCAGGATTCTGAAATGTGCTCAACACACAAAGTGTTGCCACTGCATATGGAGTATTTCCGACACTATGATGTGCTTTATAACACTGCTGGTACTACCATGTATGAATTATTTCTGATACATGAGTTTCACAGCTGAGTGGACAGTGCTTCGGATTGGTAGTCCCGAGGTTCTGGATTCGATCTCCCGTGGAGGCGGAGACAAATGGGCAAAATGTTTCTTTCACCCTGATGCCGCTGTTACCTAGCAGTAAACAGGTACCTGGGAGTTAGACAGCTGCTATGGGCTGCTTCCTGGGGGTGTGTAACAAAAAGGAGGCCTGATCGAGGACCGAGCAGCAGGGGCGCTAAGCCCAGAAATCATCAGCAAGTGTAATTCTTCTGGTGATAGCATGAGCTGGAAAAGAAAAAGAGAGAGAGAAATCATCAGTGCTTGATGTCAACTATACAATATATAACTGATATATCTAAAACAAGAATCCTAAAATACACACACAAATTTTAAGGTAGCATATAAACACTAGACAAATTTGGGTATTCCTGAAAATAGGCACTATAGATATTGTTCCTGAAAAACCATGTGAGTAAATAATTCACTTAAGTGGACATTAACCCTTTAACAGCACAAATTGTATTTATACAATTTTTGGTTTATCTGCTTGCACGGCGCACATCGTATGTGAGGGAGTGGTCTCTCAAGAATCTCCCACAGCTGACTTGAATGGCTCATTGCAGTTGCCTTTTTGAGAGTAGGTTTGCAAGAGGAAGACTGTGATTTTACAAAATTTCTCTGGATAAAGGATCCTAGCGATCCTAATAGTGAAATCATCACATATAGATTCACGTCAGTCCTATTTGGAGCTACATCATCTTCATTTTTACTCCAAGTGACCTTGGATACTCATTTGAAGAAATCTATTAGTCCATACAAGACAGAAATTAGTAACAACCTATATGTCGATAACTTCCAAGGAACTACTTATGATGAAACCAAATTCGTGGAAATTTATAATGAGGCTAACCACGAGTTACTGGGAGCCAATATGCCTTTACAGTCGTGGGCCTCTAATAATCAACACCTGAATCAAATACAGGAGCACCTCGGTTTGCGAATTCAATCCGTTCCTGGAGACGGTTCATAACCCGAAAATTCATAAACCGAAGCGAATTTCCCCACAAGAAATAATGGGAAATGAATTAATCCTTTCCTAACTTCCCAAAAAATTCTCTTCAAAGTAAATTTTATACCTAATTCATCCAAATCTTCACTACAAAAGTATGTACAAGTTATTACTTACCTTTACTGATGACTCCTGTTGGCATATGGAAGACGGTGAGGAAAGGGGGGGGGGGTGGGGAGGAGAGGTGTTACTGTTTAGAAGGGGAGTCCCCTTTCATTATAGCATCAGGCAGTGATGACTTCTCTGGGGTACACACTCTGGCACGTTTTGCCTGCATACCACTATGACCTGCTTCTGGCTCACTGCATGATTTTTTCATTTATTCTTGAAGATTGTTTTTCCCTTCTTTGTAACACTTGTCTGTAGTGAGACATCACATTGTCATTAATAAGTTCAATGCAACGGCCTGCTAAAGTTTTATCTGGGTGATTCTTCTCAGCAAAACTTTGCAGTTCATCCCTTACTGCACACATTTTCTTAATTAACCCTTAAATGGCGCATGGCTATATACCATTTGACACCCACAGGGGCATACCAAAAAAAAAAATTCTTTTTTCTTCCTAACCTGTTAATTTGTGTTCACTGATCATGGGAAAAATAATTAAAAAATCCTAAGTGGCATATATTGCCCGCTATAGGGCGGGGAAGTCTGGCAAAAAACAGGCGCTAACTCAGCGTGCGTCCCAGGCGGTCTGTTGCTCGCGAGCTGTCAGGCTGGAGTTGCCACAAAGAGATAATTACCTCATTATTTCAATGTCTCCTATTGATTTTTCGTAGTTTTTTGCTGTAATATTATTCAATAGTGTGTAGTGTGATATATTTATATAATAAAATGAGTGTGAATCATCGCTGTACTCAAAATATGATGTGCATATTGTTGATTCAATTATGTTCATCAAGCAGTGAACAACTACTTTGTCGGTTATTACACTATATACACAGGTTATATATAAGTATCTGCATGTTTTGTTCACTATACCGAACCACTATGTTACTATTATGAGTCAAAAAGTAGCGAGGAGTGACCACTGTGTACCAGCCAGCCACTCCCTCCCTCAACACCTTACTCGCCCACATTCTCCTCCCACCATACTGTTTTTGCTTTTATTCACTATATACAGGCGTTATATAAAAGTATCTACATTCGTGTTCACCATAACGAACCACTAAGTTGGTATGCTGAGTGGCAGGCAGTGGCAGCCCGCCACTGGCTGCCACTCCCTCCCTCCCTCACCTCACCTGACTTGCCACCATTCTCCACCCACCATACTGTTTTTGCTTTTATATACAGACGTTATATATAAGTATTTACATGCTTTGTTCACCATAAATGTACATCTAAGCTTGTATGTTGAGTAAAGGCACAAAGACGTAGCTACTCACACAGTCAGTTGATGGCTACCGACCTCAAGGCCAGGCGCACTAATATTTCTCCTCCAACAATACTGTTTGTGGTGTTATTACGCTATATACACACATTATATATAAATATCTACCTGTTTTATTCACCATACTTGTACAAGTTAACTGGTATGGTGCCCACAGACCATCGTGGTCACTAGGAAACAACATGATAAATCGTGCAGACGATGCCACCGCACTCACCAAAATGGTGGCTCCCAACCTACTCCTCTTGCTGTTTATACCCTCTATACACACGTTATATACAAGTATCTAAATTTGTGTTCACCATAGCGAACCACTAAGCTGGTATGCTGAGTGCAGTCAATAAAAGGTGGCCACACACAGTCAGAAGACAACGCCACCACCCTCCCTCCCACAGCATTACTCCTCCCTCCATGGAGCACAGTGCTAAATATCACCACAATCCTGCTATTATCAGAACCCTAGTCAGTTTTATCACAGTCAGGGGTCTTCTGTAATAATATCATCGGTACATAATAGCATGAACAAGTATATTATGGCATTTTTAGGCGATGCTGTGGTCACAATTTGAACAGCAGTGCTGTAAGCTAATGCTGCGTGCATCAGAATTGGTAGCTCACTCAATATTGAGGCCCCTAACACCCGGGAATT